TTCTGCGACCAAGTAGGGACAATCGCAAGGTTTGCGTCAGTAGCTTATCCCCAAGCCAATGGTCAAGCGGAATCGGCCAACAAAGCAATCCTGCACGGTTTACACACCTGCCTAGACTAAGCCAAAGGCAATTGGGCCGACGAACTCAACACAGTGTTATGGGCACACCGCACCACGTACAAAGTGGCGACGGGAGAAACGCCTTTCACGCTCACGTACGGCACTGACGCGGTGATTCCCATCAAGACAACAGCCCCAACCTATCGGATCACAATGTACAACGAGGAGACCAACGAAGAGGCGCGCCTGTTGGACTTGGAATTGGCACAGGAGCGACGAGAGTTAGCGTCCATCAAGCTCGCGGCAACAAAGGAACAGGTAGCCAAGTACTATAACGCGAAACTGGTTCCACACAAGCTCAACCTCGGGGACCAAGTACTACGGCGAAACTTCCGCCCTGACCCCAAACACGGGAAACTCGCTTCAACATGGGAGGGCCCGTACCTACTCCGCGAGGTGGTAGGCGCCAACACCTTCAAGCTCAACGAATTGGGGGGCACCAAAATTCCAAGAACATGGAACGCGCAGAACCTCAGGAAGTACTACAGTCCAGCTTAACATGTATTCGGTCACAGGGCACGTTTGCGTGGTTGAATAAAAACAAAGTTCGACAGAAAATGAGTAGCAATAATCATGAATTATTCGCGCCACACAATTGAACAAGAAACGCCGATCGAGAATCGCGCTTACAATTCACAAAATAACAATAATCATGAATTATTTGCGCCCACACAATCTAACAAGAAACGCCGATCAAGAATCGCGCGTACAGTTCACAAAATAGCAATGATCATGAATTATTCGCGCTCACACAATCGAACAAGGAACGATGATGATAACCGCTCATAAAGTTTACAAAATAGCGATGTACACGAATTATTCGCGCACACGCGTATATAGCAGTAACCACGAGTTATTTGCGCCGCCCACTTCGAGAAACAAACCACAAAAACGCATAGAAAGAAGAACTTTTGGATTCCATCAATGGGAGCAATAAACTTATCGCGCACTAAAACTACAAAGATTACAATTAATCCAGCAGCGCGTTGTCCGCGGCGGCGCCTTCAGTCTCTTTGCCAGCCACCATGACAGGTTCCCCATCCTTCACCGACCCAGATCCCCCATCCTCAACGTGGTCGTCGGTGCGCGCGTCATCTTCGGCACGCGTTTCATCCTCCTCTTCCTCAGACTCATCCTCCGATTCGAAGTCGAAGTCCAGTGGCTTCTTCTCTCGCAGCCACATCTGCACGTGCTGAACCACTTCGCGAGTTCTCCAACGAACCCCGGGGTTCTCAGGTCGCACCTTCTTGCCGACCGCGATGACGGCCTTGGTCATCGCGTCCGCCAAGATCTTCCCGAAGGAGGAGGAAGACTTGTATTGACGCACGGCAGCAACCTGCGCCTCACGAACAGCTTCCGCTTTCTCCCTCTGGTATTCTTTGCGGGCCTGCTTCAGCTTCTCTTTGTGGCCCGATTCTAGCTGCGCCTTTTCTTGCACCCACTCATCAGCCAACCGCTTCTTTTCCTCCTGGAACTCGCCGCGCAGTTCTGCCTAAACCCGCTCCGTCATCGCTTGTACATCCTCCGCCAGCTTACTCTGCAAAATCCCAAGCTCCTCCACGGCCTCATTTGCCTTGCTCGTCGCCACCTCTGCGCGCCCCTCCGCCCCAGCAAGCTTCCCTTCCAGCTGTACAATCATTGCCTTCTCAGCCTTTGCCTTCGCGCGCTCACGAGCACGCTCTTGTTGAGCGCGGAAGGCCGACATCAGACCCTACATCCAATACGCCAAAAGACTTAGCGAAATCCAGTAAAATGGACAAGGCAAAGTGCTAGGAGTTGAACAAACATACCGCGAAGTGAACCTGGGAGAGATCCCACAAGGGATCTGATTTCTCCAGCCGCGGAGGGACGCTGAGTATCGGCCCAAGAGCGCGGATGGCAGCTTGAGCGGCATGGCTATTACATGTCGCGCCGATGTGGATCCACACATCACAATAGTAATTGATGCCGGCCATTTCCGGCAATGTTAGCTGAATGGTCGCCCCGGATGAACCGCCAGTCGAGGGCCCCTCCGGACGCGGAGGCTTACTCACTATCGGCGCCTGCCGCACTGGCGGCAGAGGTTGCTCAGTCACTCGCGCCGCCTTCTCCGGCCTGTCCGCAGCTAAGGCCTGCTCAGCTTCCTTCCTCTTTGCGCCACTTGCTCGCGCACCGTCTCTCTCCTTCTCCTTCTCCTTCTTGTTCTTCTCACCGCACGGGGCCCGCAGGGCCTTCGACGACGTCATGCTCGACAGTGATGAGAAATCAACCCCTGCGCCAATAAGTCGTAAGACGACCGTTAATATGATAGAATGCAAGAAGAAAGGAAATAAAACTAACCATCAGCAAAGAGCTCCTCCAGGCAAGCCGCGCGGACTCCGCTAGAGTAAAGATTTATCCTATGAGGCATGCACGCCTCATATTCCTCATCGAGCCTGTCATATTTGCCCAACGCGGACTCATAGCCGCGCAAACTCCCCTTTTTCCAAATAGTGGGCTCCTCCACATATTCCTCGGCCCATTCTCCCGGGACCGGCTTCACGAAGAAGAAGCGGGTGAACCAATTCTTCTCCAACTTCGGGGAGCTATAAACGAAACCGTCAGGCCGCTTGTCACGCCGCCTAATGGAAAGACAATCACTCGTCTCTGTGGGCCCCTTTATTTTATAAATCTTCCGGAAAAAACCATAGGTGGGTTGAATACCCAACCTCTTACAGACCAACCGGAGACAAGACGCGTGCATAATCACAGAAGGAGATATGCGCGCAATAGAACAACCCAGGTGCCTGTAGAGGGAGCGCAACAATGGGTCAACAGGGAACTTGAAACCCATCCTCCAGTACTCGGAGTACACGCCAAACCACCCTGGGGGGCAGTTCCCGATTCGGCTACGCGTGGATGGAACGGCGTACTGCCAATTTGAGGGCAACCCCAACCCGCGCACCAGTTCTGAAACCTCCCGCCGCCCATACACCGACACATGGTACGGCCCGCGTACCAAATTGTCACTCGGAACTCTCCCCATATAAAAAATTTCCTCCCATTCCAAGATTGTATACGCGGCCCCCACTCCGCGCATGCCGAGACGACTCATCGCCTCAGTCACATGAGACACACAGAGCGGCTCGGATGAAGTCTCCGACATCCCGGCGGCGTCAAGCGGAGCAGCACCGGACCCGCTAGCGCGATCACGACGGATTATCAACACCCCCCGCGACTGCGGCGTGCTAGTCTCACCGCCCTCACAATTCACCAAATCCCGTCCAGAATCAACATCGTACAAAGGCGTCGCCGCCATCATTGTCGGACTCGACCAGATCCAGAGACGGATCGGAAGAAACATGAGAGAAAGAAGAAAGATTACCTTCTTCGTCTGGTACGACCAAGATCTCGTTGTTCACATCGGCGTTGGCCATTGTGTCTCTAAGAAAAAATCATGAACGATTTAGAGATACAAGGTCGTCGGAGAAGAAGAAGAATCTCGTCGGTAGAGAGAAACAATGGAAGAGAGAAAGTAGAAGTAGTGGAGGAGAATGACTCTTCTCCGATAAAAAAGAGGTATTTATAACCCACAGAGGGGTAATCGAAGGGTTAAAGGTGCATCGAGAATCGGAAACGTCAGGAAACGTCAGGAATTTTTTAAATTCAAAAAGTAACCGCCCAAATGAGTGAATGACGGAGCGCCACGTTAGCACCTATAGACACTAGGGCTAGGTGCTAATAACTAGGGGCTAGGCGGTGATGTCACAGGGTACGCACACCGCCTGGGAGGCATGGTACACCCGCGGAAAACAAAAAAAAAAGAGAGAAGAGAAGAAGAAACCCAACAAAAAGATACACTCGCGAAACCCAAAAAATGTTCACGCAGGGCGCATGCGCGTAACCCAAAGGGCACACACAACACATAAAAGCGACGCCGCGCATGACGAACTGGAGCACAAGAAGGCGGAGACAACGAAGTGACTAAGCGCGCATGGCTTACTCGCGGAGAAGTGTGAAGCGCGAGGAACCGAGCTTGCCGCGGAGCCTAACAGGCGGCATTCACAGAATACCCCCTGATGGGGGGCAATTGTTGGGGATATAACTCGGATCCAGTTGCTCGAGCAAGACGGCCGAGAATGATGACCGCGAATGATTGAAGCATCAGGCGGCGCCGTTTTGATCCTGCCCAAGCCGACGTCGTTTCACTCTACCAAAACTAGCTCTGTTTTGGTTCTGCCCAAGCCGGTGTCGTTTCGGTCAGTCCGAACTAAGGAAAGAGAATCGAGAAAACGGTGCCGCAGCCTACGAAGGAAGGGTCACGTCCTAGGTCAGGTCCTAGGAATGATTATGACCTAAAGCATGGCCTAAAGCATGGCCTAGGTTTCTCACACACGTAATGGTCTTGTCGCATTAAATATCCACTACTGTAATGCACTATAAAAGAGACATTTACTACGGTAGGTAGGGGATCGGACTTTTGACTCTCTCACTAATACACATCCACTTCTCTCACTAGAAAACTTCTTTCTCTTGTTCTCTCATTCTCAAAGCTTCCAACCATTGGCAGACTGGATATTCACCTTGCTTGCTCTTCTCTCCCTTCTTTCCCGAGTCTCACTCCTACTCTCAGTTAGGCTCAAACAGTTATGTTCTCTATGCACAATTTAAAACAAAATTAACAACACATATCAATGTCATTGCGCAATTGAAAATAAAAAAAACTTTGTAAATACTCTTAGTAAACCTAATTATTGATATCAGTAATTTTCAGTTTGTTTTGCACCAACTCATGACCCCTCCTACAAACAACATTTCCTCTTCCGACATCACACGTCACAAGCCAATCAAAATCCAGCAAACACCGACTTTCTACTAATACTTGGTATAAAATAAACGTCTTATCAAATTCACATGACCACCCACCAACCAGCCGAAGGGCCGGTCACAATACTAGTTCCATAATAGAAGCTGAGTATATTGCGCAACACGAGCATGTAAAAAGATGTTGTGGATGAAGAAGTTCTAAGGAAGTTGGCTTAATTATCAACATTGTTCCCGTCCATCCATAGTAATTTTAAATTCTGGAGGCTCTGCTACATGTTACAACTTTCCTGAAAAATATTTACGGTGTGGTTTTTATTAGTACAATATACTGTAATTTTCTTTTGTATATTTTCCTGGAAAATACCGTACATATGCTAAAAATTGGCTGGCAAATCACATACGGCCAGCTTACCAGAGTACAGATTAGTAAATTGGGCAAAGGGGCGATGGAAGCATAATGATAATACCTCCGTCCAGATATGGTAGGAATCTGTTCTCTCCTATGGAGGTAGAACATCGAGATCGAGGTTAAATTGGACGAAAATAGAATTTCGAGGATACTTTAATTTCATTTGTATCTTTTCGTTTTGTTTTTGGAACATTAGCGGCGCCAACGCTGAAATAAAAGAGAGACAGGGGAGCGAACAGCGAACAGAGCAGCAACAAAGAATAAAAAAAAATGGGGGAGCTTTTCCGGGAAACGGAAATCCCAAACCAAAAGCGCTCTCCAAACTCGCCGCCGTTCCCCTCCGTGCTGTCTCCGAACCCAGCATTGTTTCCCCCTTCTCTAACCACCTTCACTTCCGCCATAGAATCCCAAAAGCCGTATTTGGAGTCTCTACTTCACAAAACAGGGGCGATTTTATTCAGGGGATTCCCTCTCGATAATGCTTCCCATTTCAACAGCGTGGTGGAATCCTTCGGATTCGCCGATCAGCCTTACAACGGTGGAGCAGCTCCCCGGACCCACGTCGTCGGCCACGTCTATACCGCCAATGAGTCGCTGCCCCATGAAAACATCTCCTTCCACCACGAATTGGCTTACGTCAGAAAAAAGCCACTCCAGTACTTATAATTAGCTTAATTCAGTTAGTTTACGTCAAAATTCGCAAGACTTTATAACGTATTCTTAAATTATTTCAGTCGCCGGAGTTCCCGACAAAGTTGTTCTTCTTCTGCGAAGTGGAGCCGGTAAGCGGCGGCGAGACGCCAATCGTGTTGAGCCACGTGGTGTACGATAGGATGAAAGAGAAGCACCCGGAGTTCGTCGAGCGGCTGGAAGAGGAAGGATTGGTTTACAACAGAGTGATGGGGGAAGAAGACGATCCTTCTTCCGCCATTGGTCGCGGCTGGAAATCAACGTTTGGCACCGTTGACAAAATGGTCGCCGGCCAGAGGTATTTTTCCTCTGTTTTTCCTATGCTCCAAGTCCATGTGATCTATTTGGAACTTACTTCGATGTACAAGTACTATGGGCGGCACATGAATACGACTACCAACCTACCCTGTAGATCCAAAACATAATAGAATATTGAATTGCATTAGAATAAAATATTAGATACCGTAAACAAAAAATATATAATAAGTATAGTGTCCCTTATAATGCCAATTGTGCAAGGTCTTTTAATTAGCAAATTTATCTATAATATAATCTTTATCCATACCATAGCATACTCTGTCTTAAAGAAAATAGTTAAGAAATCAATGAGAAATTCATTTCTCATTTTGTTGGGTAAATAAGTTTTCACATATTTTATTACTGAAATGTTCTCTTCATTGTAGCCGTTGAAACGGACAAGGTCCACTACAAGAAAAATTGGCTATAAAGGCAAAGTTTATTTGCATCTAAAACTCATTTATTTGTTTCTGTATACCTTTTGAAACAAATAGATTATTTGCATCGGACGCCTCTATCTCTAATTTCCTTTAGAAACAAATATGGATGCAAATAATATATGCTTCTAGTTAAGGAATTTGAGTCAAATTTTTTTTATTGTAATTCCACTTTACATAAAACGTCTTTTCTCTTCTTTTTGGTTTTAGAGACAAATGTTTTTGTTTCTATTACTAGATTCGGAAACAATTATATTTTTTATAAATATCTTACGCAAACATAAATATGTGTTTCAGAAACAAATAATTTTGCTTCTATATGTAATTTCATAATTTTGATCCAATTTTAGTTTTACCTTCAAATTCAATGTGGCAATTTTCTTTCTTTCGTGGCAAATACAAAACGTCCAAACCATTCAACTTTATAAAGATAAATAACAATATAAAATTTTAGTAATAGCTTTCTTATATATTTATTATTAAAATACATGAATACATTGTCCCTAAAAACATAAATACATCCGAGTTCATAAAAATACATAGCTTCTATTGCATGTACTAAACTAATTCTCCACCACTGATGGGAGACGACCAGATCTCCACCAAGCCATTGTTTTCCTCCTTTTTCTTTCTGTGACAAAATCATCAAACCACAAAAAAAACTTAATTAAAACCCATAAATCAAGAGAGGCGCTACAAACCCAGAAAGCCTAAAAACTTAACGAAAAAAAATCTCCGGTGGATGGTTAGCTCGCCGTCAGAGAACTTTAGAATTTCCGGTGACCCATCTTTTCCCTCGTAAGAAACCAGAATACACAAAAAAAAAGTAAAAACAATAATAATTAAAATCAAAGGTAAAGAAAATAAAATGGGAAGAAAAGAACCTGCACATTAGTTTTCAAATCTAGAACAGAGTTCGCGGTACATGGATCTTTAAACATCCAAAGTTGGGTAGATCTGGCGTTGCTTATGGCTTATGTCGATATAATGATGGTTGTGGGTAGATCTCGAAAGACAAGCGCTAGGGAACGATTGAAGAAGTTGCTAATTTGGATACGAGATGAAAAATAAATTGGCTTAGTGGTGAAGGGGTTGAAGATCAAATACTTATAACTTGAAAGAAGAGAAGGATAGAAAGTGGAGGAAGAAGGAAGAAAAGAAGAATGAGAGTGGACGGTTTCTTCTGTAGAGAAGGAACAAAAAGGTTTGGAGGAGAAGATGAATAGTCGGCTGAGAAGGGGTAAAATGAATTAGGGTTAAGGTTAATATTGTTTATATACCATTAATTATAATTGCAATTACAATTTATCACTCTATATTTCCGCGTTGATAAAATTCCATATTTGCTTCTTTCTCTTTAATTGCACGAATAAGTAAATAATCACTAAATAGTTTTCTTGGAAAAAGTGACTCAAATATGGTTGTATTAGTCTATAAAGACAATTAAATTTGCTTCTATATGATATAACACAAGTAACAATTACATTTGTCTTTAAAGACTATTATATTTGTCTCTATATAATCAAATGTTTTGGAGACAATTAGAACTGTCTCCGTACACGCTTTGTTGAAATGATTAGCATGTTTTATAGTAGCAAATATGGTCATTGTCTCTAAAACTATTAATTTATTTTTATCTTTATTAAAAATTAAAAATATACAGGATACAGAGAAAAATAACATAACATATAGAAACAAATAATATATATGCATCCAAAGATTAGATATGGAGACTAATGCAATAATTGTTTCTAATTATTTGCCTCTAAAAGCTAGTTTTCTTGTAGCATCGTCCACACTAGACGAATCAACCGAGAAGTCAATTTGTATTGTTTATCCATCCATGTTTCCGCCAGCTACTCTAGTACTTTTGCAAGAGAACAAACTTCAAATTTCTGACTATGAACCACATGAGCAGCATAATATCCTAGCTTATTTTTCAAAGAATGCAAGTTTTTAAATATTTTGTTCTTTGAAATTTGAAAGACCGGAAAGAACTATTAGGTTCTAGTGCACCACGCAACTGACTAAAAAAAAACAGCGCCCGACATACTGACATAAGAATCTATTTCAGGTATGTTCTTCTCCTCGTTCTTGTTTTGTTTTGGGGGGGATTGGAGACATTTTTTAGTTTTGACAGTAAAGGGTGAGCTTTAGTATAGAGATTTTTTTATTTTAATAAAACTTCATACTTTTAGCCTTTTATGCTTTAGACCTTTTCAGGGTTTCTTTTTACAAATGAAAATCATTGGTGCTAGAATTTTTGGGCTAAATTTAAAGTAGTAGTTTGGATATGTTCATCTGGATTATTTTCTTATTACACAAAATCCTATTATCAAATAATATTGGACCGAATTTTAAATAGCATTGAGTCGAACACCTAAATTTGAGAAATTCAAAACTACTATTATAGATTTGGACATAGATGTGGGCTGGGTCGTGGCTCAGGGTGGCCCACCCCTAGATCTGCCACTACAACCTACTTGTCCAAGAGAATATCTATTGAATAACCTTGTTCTACATAATCTTGCATAACCGTATAATACCATTTATAAGGCTACTAAAATTTCTCCAAGAACTTTAACGGACTATATCTCTTTCGTCTTAAGTAAAAATTAAAAATATTTGTGAAAAAAAATTATTAGTTGTTCTATTCAAAATGGCATCCAGTTTGATATACTTTGGAACAAAAGGAATTAAGACTTTTATTAACAGTCCATACCATGTGCTACTACTTGGTATGTACATAAAATTATATTTCGTGGTATGAAAGTGTATCAAGATGATATAAAAATATCATAGTTCGTAGTTATATACATGGTAGTAGGAATATATTAACTATCATTAGTCACATTTCATCATTGTCTACCAATAGATAACCTTATACCAGGGTGGTATAATTGGCTTTGAGAAAATTTTCCCTGAAATTTATAAATCTAATAGATCACGATAAACTTATTTTCTTAAGGGCAAAATGTTTCAAAATGTGAGTTAAAAACAAAGGTGGTACCAAGTTGGTAACGAGTAATATGAATTTTTTTCTCAAAATATATTGAAATTGGTTCTCATTTGTAGATCAAAACGAACATGTTCCATCTATAAAAAAAATTTAATTAAAGTTATAATGAAAAAGGAAAGATTCAATTAGAAACCTAGTAAAAATAAAGAAAGTCATTTATTTTCAACCATTAGATCCGGCTCCACTTGAAATCAAGGACTTAGATCTAGGTATGCAAAAATCCTAAGACTTCTTGTCCCTACTGCTCAAATCGCTATCTCCAATATTTCTTATGGGTCGTTTGGATTGAGTATTTGATAAACTTGTTGTTTGGGGCCAATTACCACACAAATACCACATAATATAAAACTTGTTATTTGGTATGTGATATTTGGTCTCAAACTTGTTATTTGGGAAATACCTGCCCCCTCCCAAGTATTTAGCAAACAACACTTTTTGTGTTATTTGGTCTCAAACCTGTTATTTGGCAAAACACTACATCCAAATAACACATCCCACTTTTTGTCAGCCAAACATGTTATTTGGGGTTAAATAACAGATTTTGGGGTCGTTTGGATTGAGTATTTGACAAACTTGTTGTTTGGGGTCAATTACCACACAAATACCACATAATATAAAACCTGTTATTTGGTATGTGATATTTGGTCTCAAACTTGTTATTTGGCAAATACCTGCCCCCTCCCAAGTATTTGGCAACAACACTTTTTGTGTTATTTGGTCTCAAACCTGTTATTTGGCAAAACACTTACATCCAAATAACGCATCTCACTTTTTGTCAGCCAAACATGTTATTTGGGGTCAAATAACACAAAATCTGTTATTTGACCCCAAATAACACCCCCAAATACTCAATCCAAACAACCCCTTATATTCTTTTTCCTCTCTTGCCTATTTTCGTTGAATTCTCTTTTGCCTTTTTTCTAATCATATATTAGTTTAATTTCAATTACTCATGTATGTCTTGTTCCTTTTATTTAAAAAGTGTTACCCTCTTTATTCTCCTAATACATCTTGTTCTAATTAATCTGATATGACACGTATCTGGTATTGATTCAACTACCGACCACCAGCCCACCGCTATCATGGCTAAGGCTAGAAGGGCTCTTAATTTATATATATAGGTCAGACTGGCGTACGTCAGACGTATACTATATGTCAAGTCCTACTAGTGAGATATCTCTATCTAGACCATAAATTAAATCGAGTTTGGCGTATCATACTATACTCTAACCTCTAATGTATAAATCCCAGACACCGATTTTCTAAATCCCAACCTGAAATTTGATTTAATGAAAAACAAAAATTGAACGTTGAGATTGACCGGAACTCATCATAGTACATCTAACGGTTAGATCACCTACTGTAAACTATACGTCTGACGGTTATATATATTTTTGTATTACGGCTAGGGCTGCAAAACTAGGAATGAAGCTAGAGTGGATCAAAGATGGATCGTCAGCGAAAATAATAATGGGTCCAATCCCAGCAATCAAATACGACAAGCCGAGAGATCGAAAAGTTTGGTTTAATGGGATGGTCGCGGCTTATACGATTAGTAGAGACGACAATGGACAATCTGACGAATTGACAAAGGCCGTCGCGTTTGGGAATGGGGACCCTCTTCCTTCCGACATCGTTTATGATTGTTTGCAAATCATGGAAGAGGAAAGCGTTGCAATTCCCTGGCAAAAGGGAGACGTATTGTTGATAGATAATTGTGTTGTACTTCATGCTCGAAAGATCTTCACTCCTCCTCGTCGAGTTTTGGCTGCACTCTGCAAGTAGAGATGTTAGATATATAATATAGCTACTTTAACTTGCACATTCCTTTGTTTTGTAATAACTTTCCATGCTCTAAATTTGAATATGTTCTTCTTTACCTTTTGCTCACATTAATCTTTTCCATCAACTTGTCGTGGTTTGATTGCAATATAATCTCGATTTTCTTAAATTTTCTACTTACGAATCTGATCTCCGCCTCGCATAAGAATTTTCTGGTCTTGATCTTGATATAGATCTTCTTCTTTTTTACGAGAAACCAACTATTCGTGAATTTTAGCTTCTCCTTAATATTCATTAGAGGAACTTTTTCTATCAAAACACCCTACTGAGTGTTGGTGGATAATATAGTTTTTTGTCCTTGGCCATGAATTATTGATGGACTGTTTGTTACCCACAGTTTTGCTAGTAACTCACAAGCGAGAGAAAAACGTTGGTGTTCATAAACCTTTGATATATTAATTGGAGACAGAACTAATGTCAAACTTACAAATTTATAGGCTACAAAAGCCTAATACGAAACCTAATTCTATCCGAATACCCACTCTTATTCGGCTACCCCTATCCCAAACGCACAAGGAAAATCATAACGAAAAGGAAAACCAGCCAAGCCCAAACCAAAAATAACCTCATCAATCCTCCCCCATTGAAATCAACATTGTCCCTAAGGTTGACCCTCGAAATCCTCCTCAAACAAGCACATCACCTTAGCTTTACTACATTTGTGTGCAATGGTAAATCGCTTGTCGCAGTTGAAGCATAGGAGTTGAGCTCTTCGCAGTTGCTGCTCCTCCCAGCTAAAGCGCTTCCCTCATGGCACCCCACGTGGTGGGGGCCCATTTCCTCTTTGAAGAGTCAAGCTTGCAGTACTCGACACAGAAGCTCCACCTCAAGTCCCCGTTGCTCCTCATGTAGATGGCACCGATCGTCCCAGCATATACCTTTATACTTAAGGTGTCGTTTGCTTCATGGATTTAGAAATGAGGGTTTTGTGATTTAAAAATTCAAATATTAATCAAGGATTTGAGGCATTATGGATTTGAAACAATTCTTTGTTTGTTGAGATGTTTTGATCATGAATTTAAGGGTTTGAGATTTAGAACTTAAAGTCCAAAATTCCCTTACTATCATTTTCTGTTTGTTTGTCATATTTATGATATGTACATAAATAATGACAATATATACTAAAAGCACAATGTTGTTACAAGGACAACAATAGTAAACAAGAAAATTCGTTTAACTTCTATGTAAATATATTAGTTACCAATTCCTCATCTTCCACTTCAAAAATAACATATAACAACACATATTAGAATCTTCTTTCACGTTCCATGAAAAGGTCAAAGTAAACTACACACAAGAAAGGGCATCGAAAATTTAACTTATGTTTTTACATTAATTGAATATTTATATTATTGTTTTGTTGTTGATTAATTGATTATTTATATTGTGCAATAGCTAAATGTGAGGGTAATCTTGGAATATTAAAATTTCATGAGGGTATATGAGTAAAATCTCATCATGGATTTGTGGCATATGTTCCAAATCCCCCATCAATATTAAGGCTCTACAAGTCTGTGGGCAGGGGCGGACCCAGTGGGTTTTAGGGGTGTCCCGGGACACCCTTAAATTTTAGGAAAACGATTATCCAACACCCAGTGGTAATTTACGTATGGACAAAAAAAATATAATTGATAGTGAGCGACACCCCTTAAATTTGAAAAAATGATTATCCTATTCCTACTGTCATTTGTGTATAGGAATATAAGTGGTAGGTTGGATAATTGAAATCTAGAACACTATTATTATTAATAAACTTAATTTTCGTTGAGCTACAACTCATTTGCTATTCAATTTTGAACAATGTGTAATATTAAAATGGCATTCCCTATCTCTTATTATTTTAAAAATCTAACAATTAAAATAATTTCAAACTATCCTTAATTTGTATTGATTTTATGATTGTACGACAAGTGTTGAAAGAGTCTTTCGGCTTTAGGTTACATCAAGAACAAGTTTACAAATCGAATATGCGATAAGTTCGTGAATGATTGTCGACTAGGATATATAGAGACAAATTGTTTTAACACTATAGACACCAAGTGTATTCTACAATTATTTCTGAATATTAAAACACATCATGGACACAGATTTGGACCCTTCAAATCTGTGGGTCACGGATTTGTTCCTAAAAAAAAATGCAAACAAACGATGGATTGGATTTAGGTACCAAATCCATCATGCAAATCCACGAATTAAACAACCCTTTATAATATGTCGACAACCTAATTTCAAGAGGTTTCACTATCATAATTCAGTTATAACATTTGATCTTGTTCATGTCCAACAATCAAGTTATAGACGTGTAACTGTAACGGGGACCGATATTAGTTACATCACTTTACTAGAATCAATTGCATTACTTTTTTATAATTAAAAACTCATATTAGTTACATTTTTTGTTTCATCCTCCACCTGCCTCCCTCTGACCACCTTCATCAGATCGTCGTCTTCTCGTTCCTTCCTCCAGCATAACGAACCATATACCCCTACATGAAAATATGTATCACCATACAAAAATCAATATTACTAAACGAAAATTAGTACCATTATAAAAAAACCAGTACCACTACAAGGTACAAAATCAAAACCACTACCACTATGAAACAAAACAAAATTAAAACCAATATCAGTATGCAAAACAAAGTATCAATACATATCCTATAAACGAAATAAATACCATAAAAACCTCAGGTACTTCACAGGTAATAGTCCAAGAGGGAACCTTGTATGTTCTAAAATAAATTGCTTTTCATTTTGGGATATACCAGCACAATACAGCTGACACTTTTCAGGGTTACAACATAGCCCTGAAATTGTGTAGAATTCATCCAGTAATAGCCTTATACCTGGTACACCACTCGCTGACCCATTAGTAAAAACCAACAGATCATATGCAAAGCACATGTGGGATATACCTAATGGTTTACAACGAGGATGATAAGGGGACAGAGGGTCCCCCTGGCCACTATAAACAAGTATCTCCCTGGCCACTATAAACAAGTAAGGAGACAGAGGGGCCCCCTGTATCATACCCTTCAGCATACAATATAACCACACATCCCACCATTCAAAGACACACTAACCATTGGTGAACATACAGAAGCAATCAACAACTGAAAAAAATTCCCTTTTATCCTCATTGCTTGCAGAACAATAAATAGAAACTTTCAACTAACAAAATCATAAGCTAACAGGATGTTATCACGAGAGTAGTCAAAATCCCGATTTAAATCCTAAAATCCTACGGTTTTACGATTTTACTTACCTATTTTGATTCTTATTTCACTATAAAATCTATGGACCTTAAAATCCTACACTATTCACGATTTAAATCCTTAAAATCTTCAAAATCTTATGATTCAAATCTTAGAATCAATTTTACATACTTCCCCCAGAATTTGCAAAATTACACCTCTTTTTCTTCTCCTTCACAACATCATCTAGTTCTCTCACACTAATCACCATTGATTATAATCAATTCACATCAACGTATTAGTCATCATCGATTCACCACCTCTTAACATTAACCTTGATAAATTGGAACATTAACCTTGAAAAATTATCACTGTAAGTGTTATGTGCTTTTGTGTTATTCATGATTTTCCTTACTAATCATTTTTATATGGACCTTAAAATCCTAAGATTTTACGATTCGATCTTACGATTCCGATTTTACCCCCAGTTTTTGATTTTACGTAAAATCCCGATTTTGATTGCTTTGGTTATCACATATAGAGCACCCATTAATAAAAGTAGATAAAGAGGGACCGACAATTTTGGAGAGCACAACAACCAACTTTAGTGCCAAAATCTTTGTGATTCCTTTATAGAGAGTATTACGGCATGAGATTGGGCGAAAATCCTTCATTTGCACAGAAATCTGAACTTTAGAAACAATGTAATAATAGTCGAATTAACTTGTATTGGAATAGGGCCTGATTGAAAGAATTGTTACACTACATTCACTACTTCATTCTTGATCAGATCCCGATGTAGAAGAAAAAACTCACTTGGAAACCCATTAGGTCCAGGTGCCTTTCCTTCCCTAAATTCTTAAACACCTTCTCAATCTCTTCTTTAAGGGTAGGTCTGTTTAAGAATTCAGCATCCTCCTCCCCAAGCTTAAGGTTGAGCAGTTCTTTGAAATAATCCACAGAAAAGTCTTGTACATTAGGATCAGACTCTCCAATTAACTTATGATAGAAGCCAACAGCCACGTTTCCCATTTCTTTTATCTTTGTGACCTCTTTACCATTCTCGTCCAGCAATTTTGTAATTTGTTGCTCATGAGTTCTAACTCTCATAGAATTATGAAAAAGGAGGTATTCATATCTCCCTCTTGTACCCATTGCGGTCTAGATTTCTGCTTGTAATACAGCTCTTCAGCTTTTAGGATACACTTCCCTGCCAAAATAGCATATTTCGCAATAAACTCAAGCCTAGTGTCGTAAGCACATCAGCCTGAATGGATGCAAGTTGATCCTCCATTTCTCTAGCTTGATCTGAGATGTCGACATATACCTCTTTATTCATCTTCTTGAGCTTCAGCTTCACTTCTCTTGGCTTGCCACAGAATACATAGTGAGGAAACCTAATTACAAGGAAACAAAAGGAAGGGAAAGAAAAACAAGGGACCAGGGAAACAGGGGCAAACAGAGAGCCCCCTCGCACCTAGGAAACAGAGGGAAGACATTAAGGACGGAGACAACCATAAACCAAGAGGGTTCATCATTGAGCGGACGGACTTCCTTTCATTCCAACAGCTTCCAGAAAATTCCTTTTAGCTGGGTGACGCTTCACTGCTGTCAAACATCTGTTTTCTTGCATTTTCTAACCATTCTTCAGTTATTTTTCTCTCCACCTTGTTCGCAACTATCAACCACCTTGCAACTTGGCTGCTAATCTTGTACGTAATCACATCCTCTGTTGTAGAAAGAGCATCAAAAATTCTGTTATTCCTCTATTTCCAAACACTCCA